AACTGGAACTCATTCCCTTTGGTGGGGTCAGTTTTGTGTTTTTCCCTGCGTCCTCTGGTCTGCACGGTGTCTCTTAAACACCATGACATCAGCACCTATGTAGCTTTTTATTAGGTCATCCCATTCAAAGTGGCCGACACATATAGAGGAATGGCAGTAAAGTAAAGGGGATAGAGCAGCGGGCTACTATACCATTTGGAAGCTAGTACCTTAAGCTGTGTATCTGTCTGATTTGAAAAACCGGCGCCGATTTTCACCACTCGGGCTTCTTTTCAATTTCTCGAGAACTTCTTCTGGGCTAGGTTCGCCAAATTTCACAGATACACAGCTTAAGGTACTAGCTTCCAAATGGTATAGTAGCCCGCTGCTCTATCCCCTTTGCTTTTCTGCCATTCCTCTATATGTGTCGGCCACTTTGAATGGGATGACCTAATAATACATAGGTGCTGATGTCATGGTGTTTAAGAGACACCGTGCAGACCAGAGAACGCAGGGAAAAACACAAAACTGACGCCACCAAAGGGAACTGAGTTCAGTTGTCTGTAGACTTGGGACAGAAGGAAGGCCCACTGTTAGTGGGCTAGCGCAAGAGCTGCTCGGGATTCGACTCCCAAACCGTTTCCGTGGTATGTTGCGCCACTTGCCACCTCCGCCCCAGAACAGAGATATGCCAAAATAATTAAGGATATTCACTTTTTTCGCCTGCGAAGCACGGATACACCGTGGAACAAAAAAAAGGCAAAGATGAGCTTCAAAGGCAAACCCGCGTGGTTTTTCTTTGAGCCTCACCTTTGCCTGTTTTCTACTGGTTGCATTTTGTGGATGTGTCCTTCAATAACGGACTTGTAGGTGCTGACTGACTTTTCGAGGAAGAAAGCAAAAAAAATGAAAACCTGGAGGGCATTATCGTAAGTACTCCCTGGCTACCGTAAGTACTCCCTGGCCCACTGTACAAGTTTTCCGGACCTGCTCCAGCCAGCAAAGCGATATCCTGCCAGGATGGCTCATCAACCGCTGCTTCGCGCCATCCAACGCTAATACCATCTAACAGTGGAAAACCAAGAAAAACATGGTGTAAAAACAGAACTCCTGACAGAAAATCGCCTTTGAGTTTTGGTGGGCGAAGCAACTAGGGAGGCGTCAGAACCGCCATTTATTAGGGTCGCAGCGCCTCCGTCACCTTCAGAAAGGAACAGTCTTGGAGAGTGTGGGTCAGACTGCCCGTACCAAGAAGGATGCCAACGAAATGCGAGCGCGGCAACTGTCTTTAACTACAACCAGAGGCTATGCAGGAGAAATATAAGGTATTTGTGAGAAATCCTGTCATCAGGCTCCACGTCATATCAAAAACCTTGGCGGAGAATTGAAACGTGCCCGAAATGCACGCCATAGTGTCATAGAGTTGGGCTCATGAAGGGTGTGCGCTGACGGTCGTAAACGGTATTTATTGGCTTCATAGATAAAACAGCAGTGCACCTTTCCTCGCCTATTCTCACTGATGCTTGCAATTGTATTTCTTATCTTAGTGGGTGAGTGAAAACGAGCACATAGCAATTCTATTTGTCATTACAGTTTTTTACCTAGTATGGAATGTCACATGAATCTTCAGCAGATTAGAAGGTGGAAACATTTCAGGGAAAGTGGTTGCCCAGACAAGGCCAGGATATCAGTTCCGAGCCTGCGATCCCGTCCAACTGCAAAGATGTCAGGCAGTCTTTAATGATGACCTTGGCATTGATGGTGGGCCTCTTACTGATTCAAAATGAAATCTCGGTTTCACACAGTCAAATTAGGCGCTAGTCTGCTACGGGAGGATGGGATATATATCAAATTTCGGCGCAGTTCGGTGATGGGGGGGGGGGGGGAGGGGGGAGCATCTTGCACTTTCGGTGCTTCACTGATTCTGATTCACGCCATGCTAAAACTGTCAACTCTTGGGAGCTCATGAGCTCTCTAGATGGGTCGACACGTCGACGGGAAGTGATAGAAGTGCAAAATGCCCCCCCCCGTCGCCAAACTTCTTTTGATATACCGAGAAACTTTGTGAAGATCTACGAATTCCTGCCGAAGCCTCTCTCCTGCGAACATCTCCAAAGTAACAATGTCAGTTTTCTAATCTGTTTTTTGTGGTACTTAGAGATCTGGAAGGAAGCTATGTAAGCCAAGGAAGGGAGGGGATCGGTGCGGAGACACTATCATGATTTCACGGTAAGGGAAAATTTCTCATTGCACAACAAAATTGGTTCGTCCATTCCGGAAATCACTCCTCCTGGGCTTCGGCAAATGTTCTTATCAAGGCAGGTCGTGCGTTGAGGATCCCAGCGAGGGCAGCGAGAGGAGGAGGGGGGTGGGGGAGGGTCGTACCTGACGTTGTGGAAAATGCTTTGATCGATGATTCCTCGTGGTTTTCCCGTTTTCCGTTTCACGTGCTCTGTGTTCCCCCCCCCACAGCGCTACAGTGAATTCTTTGCTTTCGGGGGTGGGGTGGGCAGGAGAATTGCGGAAAAGAGGGGAAAAGTGGTACGAAGTGAAAGGAAGGATGGCAGGTAAGTTGGGGAACTGGAGAGGGGTTTTGTCAGAGAAGGAACCTTTGAGATGGGGTTGTATTTTGCAAAATTCTTTTCCAATGGCAGGACGTGCCCTGGTCCTTACGACCCCGGCTCACATAGATTTCTTCACACATTCTTGCGTTGAAGGCTGTCTTACCACAAAAAAAGCTGGTGTAATGGCGTCCGAATAAAACCCGTACTACTATTTCGCAACTTCACAATACTGTCAGTTATGACAGGACTTTACAAGATGCCCCCCG